AACTTAAGATCTTAAAATTCTGAATCTGAGACAAACAAAGACGCAAGGTCTTGGCTACCGAATGCTTAACATTCTGGGGTTTACTTCTCAAGAATTCAGCTACGGAAGTAATGAATGAGGGTTTTCAGATGGACTTCTCCATGTTTTGAATAGCTGCAGCTGTTGAGAGTAGCCAGTACTGATGTCAAAGGACTGTCGCAATTTTTGTAAAAGTATCTGCCAGAATTACAAGTATCTTCATATGAGAGATGGAAAGGACTTGAGGTTTTAAAATCTTGAATGTAGAAAAGTAAAAGATGTCATTCCCCCACCTGTCTCTATGGAAGATGTGACACAGCACCCTCTATTTCAGATGCAGAGGTATGAGAGTAGGCAGCGGGTACCGAAAACCAAATAGGAGAGAAGAGTGGACTGTTGTGGAGGATTCTACAACACAAGGTGGTGTGGGATGTGAGGTATCACTAACACTCTGCCATAACATCCAGTCTAATATTTTATCATTTTGTCACACCACAATGTCTCGATGACACAATATTCACAAAAATATTCTGGCATGCAGGGCTTTTCCTCAAAATTCCAACTGGGTGTATTGAACCTGAAGTGACCATTTGATGACGATTGCAAAACAATTGTCTGAATGGGGGAATTTCGCTTTGCGATGATTGGTTCCCTGCTTTGGGAACCGATTCTTCGCAAAATGACGTTTTTCGAATGGCTGATCAGCGGTTTCAAAATGTACACCGGGTGATTAAAATGGCTCCCTGCTGTGTTCAGGGATGGATTCCTCGCTATACAGGCAGTGAAAATGGCCGCTGTATGGAGGATCTTCGCTGGATGGTGAGTTTTTACCCCATCGGAATGCATTGAACGGGTTTCAATGCATTTCAATGGAGTTTTTTTTTTGTTTTACAATGTTTTCACTTAACGGCGATTTTCCTGGAACAGATTATCGTCATTAAGCGAGGCACCAATGTATTCACAAAAATATTCTTGCACGGAGGGCTTTTCCTCAAGATTCCAACTTGAACCTTAAGTGACCATGTGATGTTAACGTGTCTTCAAGTTGGAACTGGCCTAAAGCAACCTTAATAGGGTTTTCAAGGTAAGTGAGATATTCAAGGATTGGTTTTACCAATTCCACTGTCCCAGTGAGTTTTCATGGCCAAGTAGGGACTCAAACTCTGTTCTCCATAGTCCTAGTCCATCACTCTATCCATTACACCACCCTGGGTATTCCTATGTGACCATATCCAGGTGCAAATGGGTGGAATAGGAGTGAATGTGGTTACAATGGAGATGGGCAGGAATGCCAGAGAGAGGCTAGCAATGAAAGGATGAAGTTGCAAGAACTGGGAGGGGGGAATAAAAGGTGATTTTGGAAAGCTGAGTGTGATGTTTGAATAGTAATATCTGTATACTACTTCTTACAATAACTTCTCTAAGTATTTTACAGCATAAAATAGAACATGGAACAATTTCAAAAGATAAGGATCTGAATATTATTATGTTATTTACTACTGTAAATGTGCCAATACAAGTGTAATACCATAAACCCCACAGACAAATTGCTGTAGGAAGTTGCTACTTCCTTTTTGTAGCCATTGCCAGTTGAACAACTGGGTTGTGACCAGGCATACAAGCAGCACCTTGTTATTCTGAAGCACTTAAAGGTAAAGGTTCCCCTTTACATTTAGTCCAGTCGTGCCCGACTCTAGGGTATGGTGCTCATCCCCGTCTCTAAGCCGTAGAGCCAGCGTTTGCTCATAAGCAGTGTCAGTGGTCATGTGGCCAGAGTAACTAGACACGGAACGCCGTTACCTTCCCACTGTGGTGGTACCTATTTCTCGCATTTACATGCTTTCAAACAGCTAAGTTGGCAGGCGCTGGGACAAGTGTCAGGAACTCACTCCGCCACGTGGATTTGATCTTACGATGGCTGGTCCTCTGACCTTGCAGCACAGAGGCTTCTGCGGTTTAACCCGCAGCGCCACCATGTCCCTTTAGAAGCACTTACACCAGTGTAAATCCACAATATGACCTTGCCCCATAAATACTTTAGAAATGCTCTACAACAATGATGTAGAAGTTTCAGTTCAAAATCTGCATATTTTTACCGAGAGTTTCTAAGATGCACTGCTTATTCATGTTATAGTGAACAGTCTCCACATTTCTTGCTCGCACTCATTTATTTTTATGCTAGAGTAAACTCTATTTCTGCTTTAAAGAACAGTCTGGAAGTACATGCATGTTTGTGAGGGAGTAGGCAAAGCAGCTGGATCCTAAATGTAGGCAAAGCAGCTGGATCCTAAATGTATTTATTTCTTCTTTTCCAGCCACCTATTCCCTTCCTCCTCCACCCTGTCCATGATTAACAATTCTTCCTGTTCCCAAAGAAGCCAAACAAGAACAGAAAGAGACACAGTGGTGCATCCATGCAAATAATATTCACTATTCATGCCAATTGTGCTCAGCCACTACCATGCTTGTCCCAGCTCCTGCCAACCTAGCAGTTCAAAACATGTAAAAATGCGAGTAGATAAATAGGTACCACCACGGTGGGAAGGTAACGGCATTCCGTGTCTAGTCGCGCTGGCCACGTGACCAAGGAAACTGTCTTCAGACAAAAACGCTGGCTCTATGGCTTCGGAACGGGGATGAGCACCACGCCATAGAGTTGGACACAACTGGACTAAATGTCAAGGAAAACCTTTACTTTACTATCAGGGCTGCTATGCCCTTACTGAAAACTTTCCTCAAGGCGCCCTTGAAAGAGTACACTATTTTGAGACAGGACCCATGCAGGGAGGCTATGGCAGGACATGAACAGCCTGTTTCTTAAGAAATATTAGAATTCCACACAGCCAAGAATCCATATTTAGAGAACTAATGCTACATTGCAGACTATTTAGAGAACACTACATTCCAAACAACAGCACTCGAAAGCAGTATAGCATTATGATGGACTGAAATAATTACACAGATGAATGCTGCTCTATGAAGCCCCTTTAGTTACTCCTCGATGAGAAGAAAAAGCAAACAGTCGGGGGGGGGGGGGGGGGTCTGTGGTGATGAGCATAACATTACAGGGGCTGGGAATAAAAAAGAGGCATGGGGGGTGTCAGGATAGCTGTTACATCACAGGCTTTTTTCTTGGTTTTAAAGTTAAGGAAAATAACTTTTTGAGTTACAATCTCATGTTGGCTAGGGGATTCTGGGAGTTGTAGTATTAAAAAAGGGATGAGTCTGCTATATCTCATCTCTACTACTACTGTACTACTACTAGCAGAAGTTCTTATTTCTCAACATTGCCAGTGCATGGGTGTGAACCAAAAGTTCAAGCCTACAAAAAATATGAGTCAAGTCCTAAAAATTTTTTTTTCTGGATGATGATTACTGACACTTGCAGAAGACTTTGGAAATTTCCCTTCTGCTTGTAACCTTAGCAAAATGCAGCGAACTCTAAGAGCCCAGAACTAGAACAAGGCTGATTTTAGAACTGCACTACAAAGATGCCTTGGCTATCTGGGCGCATCTTCCAGTTGAGCCAAACTACATCTCCACTACAAAGATGCCTTGGCTATCTGGGCGCGCCTTCCAGTTGAGCCAAACGACATCTCCCAAGGCTGTATATTGTCCCCCGGCTTATTTAACTTATATGCAGAATACATCATGCGGAAGGCTGGACTGGAGGAATCCCAAGGCGGAATTAAGATTGCCGGAAGAAATATCAACAACCTCTGATATGCAGAGGATACCACTTTGATGGCAGAAAGTGAGGAGGAATTAAAGAACCTTGTAATGAGGGTGAAAGAGGAGAGTGCAAAAAACGGCCTGAAACTCAACATCAAAAAAACTAAGATCATGGCCACTGGTCCCATCACCTCCTGGGAAATAGAAGGGGAAGATATGGAGGCAGTGACAGATTTTACTTTCTTGGGCTCCATGATCACTGCAGATGGAGACAGCAGCCACGAAATTAAAAGACGCCTGCTTCTTGGGAGGAAAGCGATGACAAACCTTGACAGCATCTTAAAAAGCAGAGACATCACCTTGCCAACAGAAGTCTGAATAGTCAAAGCTATGGTTTTTCCTGTCGTGATGTATGGAAGTGAGAGCTGGACCATAAAGAAAGCTGACCCCTGAAGAATTGATGCCTTTGAATTGTGGTGCTGGAGGAGGCTCTTGAGAATCCCCTGGACTGCAAGGAGAACAAACCTATCCATTCTAAAGGAAATCAACCCTGAGTGCTCACTGGAAGGATAGATCCTGAAGCCGAGGCTCCAGTACTTTGACCATCTCATGAGAAGAGAAGACTCCTTGGAAAAGACCTTGATGTTAGGAAAGTGTGACGGCAAGAGGAGAAGGGGACGACCGAGGATGAGATGGCTGGACAGTGTATGCAAAGCAACCCACATGAATTTGACCCAACTCCGGGAAGCAGTGGGAGATAGGAGGGCCTGGCGTGCTCTGATCTATGGGGTCACCAAGAGTCGGACACGACTAAATGACTAAACGAACGAACGAACGACATCTCCCAACACGCTCAGCTACTGCTGCTGGCTAGGAATGATAGTGGGGGCACCGGGCGAGGAAGGCCGTCTAGAATTCTAGGAGGATCCAGTACAGAGGCACCTCAGAGGCGGGAGAGGGAGAGCCTTTTCCCCTCCCCTCCGTTGGATTCAGACTCAGCTGCCCGAATCGCTTTAACCTGGGCGCGCAGGATGGATCAATGGGAAGAAGGGGGAGACCCACGTGGCTCAGCCTTGTTGGATTATGACAGCCCCTCTCCCCCAAGGCCGGCTACAGCGAATGCTCGGTCGGGCCGGCTTCTTCCAGCCACCTATTCCCTCCCTTCCCCCCCCTCCCATGAGTAAAACAATCCTTCCTGTTCCCAAAGAAGCCAAACAAGGAGCTGCTGCCGCCACCACCCCCCACTCCGTTCCTTGCAACGCTCACTCGAGGCAGGACCTCAGTAACGAGTGGGAGCGAACTTCCCTTACCTGTAACGATCCTGGTCTGCCTCTGTGGAGGAATGAAGGGGGAAAAAAGAAATCTGCTTCCCCTCGATCTTTTCTTTCTAGGGTAGCCGCTGCTTTTTTAGAGATGCTGAATCCACAAAGAAAGACCGTCCCGGCGTGTGTGCCTGTTTTGTCGGGGTGAGTGAAAGCGAAACTGGTCTCGAGTGGCAAAGGGAGGGGCCAGGGGAACGGGTCTCTGGGCTCGATTCGGAGTGACGCCCCTTTCTTTTGCTGTCCCCCTCACCCGCCCGTTACCATTTATGGACATTAGGATTCCCCTCTTTGCGCGCGCCCCTCTTCCGGGATCTCCGCAAGGAGCGTCGTGCCCCGAGAGGGAACCCGAGGTAAGGGAAGGGACCCAGGCGTCCGGGTTGGGTGAGAGCGTCTTGGCGGGAGCAGCGGCTCACCTTCTGCGGCACCTGTTGTCCGGCCTCCCGGGAACACGGAGGAGGCCCGGCCCACTTCATAGTCCTCCTTGTTTGGAGTATGTGAAGTGGGGTCAAAATACACTTTAAAACAATTTTAAAGGTGAAGAATGGCATGTGAAAAAGATGGGGGGGGAACCGTCAACTCTTGGCAGAGGTGAGGCCTGGAAATGCCTGTTCCAGTTGGGTGATGGCATGACACGATGCAGGAAAGCTGACGGGAGTACTGCTGAGCATGTACAGAGAGTAAGCGCTCTGTTCTGCTTCTCATCCAGTCCCAGCGCGTCTTGGTTTGCAGGCAGGGCTGAAAGTCAAGTAGAAGCAGGAGAGAAATCAGTTGGCACCAAGTCTTCTCAGACCTCCGTGGTCCCTTACTGCTGACTCGGAATTTATTTATTTATTTATTTATTTATTTATTTATTTCGCCAGAATTTCCAGATGGCCAGTCCGGCCCTGTATTCATTTATTTAACCTATATGCCACTCACTCTACCCAAAGGTCTCTGGGCGGTTTACAACAATTAAAATTCAATTAATTGTCAATCAAAATATCAAGGAATCCTGAGTTCCATCCACTTCCATTAATTCCAGCCAGGAATCCAGGGGTCAAGGCTTCTAACTCTATGTAAGCGCATAGAGACAGATGCAACCCGAAGCAAATCACAAGGAATCCCAGAAATCAGGAGCTTCCATTACTGTCCTTGCTTTTGCCTTCTCTAATCTATGCCCCCCCCCTTAGAAGACAGGTGTGATGGCTCCTTCCCATGTCTGATGTTGGCTGTTCCAAGTCATGCCCCCTGACCTTAACCATTTCTCCTGGAAAAGTTCTAGCAATTGAAATAATAAATGATTGTGTGCCGCCAAGTCAATTCTGACTTCTGCTGACCCTTCTCAGGGTTTTCCAGGTAGACCATACTCAGAAGTGGTTCACCATTCCCTTCTTCTGGGGCGCCCTGGGACTGTGCAGCTTGCCCAAGGCCACACAGGCTATCTTTACACACAGAAGGCACCCTGGGGAATTAAACTCCCAACCTCTGGCTTTGCAGTAAGATGTCTAAGTCACTAATTTTTATAGGTGAAAACAAAATAAAAACTTAAGAAAGGCAAAAATGTGGTGGCACCTTAAAGACCAGTTACGAGTCCACTTCAGCAGATTTGTCCACAAAAGCTCACATTAAATATATATATATAACAGTCTTTAACATACCACCATGTTTTGTCTTTTTTCCTCTTTTATTTTATTTTCACCTGTAATGTTTGCACAGACTAACATGACAATGTCTTCTACGACTACATCTCTAAACTGTTCAACCCTAATAGTTTTAACCCCTCAAAATAACTTTTTTTTCTCTTTTCACTCTAAAGATTCTCTCTTGAATCCTCTTCTTTCCAGTTCCTTTCTCTCATCAAGCATGTGCAAAATTAATTTTCCTTGCTAATGGTGCCAGGCCATCCAGCCTTCCCTGCAAGAAAATCAGCAAGACACAACAAACTCAACATGAGCGACTTGTAATTCTATAAGAGCTGGGAGATCTTTCATTGCCTTCCCAAAACCTTGTCTCCCTCCCGCCTCCCGTACATACTTTTGCCATGTGGTTCCACTTCTTTCCCAAGTGCTGTGAAAAGCAACCAGCTTCAAGGTGCCAAGCTCTGTTGCAAAGCTGTTGCTGCCCCACTCTTTCCGGTCTCACCACAGGCCCCTTCCCAGGAGTCTAGGGTTGAGAAAGGCATCCAGAGGTTCGTGGAATCTGGGAGAAATATGGGGCCGAACAGTCCATGTGGAAAGATACTGGCGCAGGAGGAGAGTAGTGGATACAGCACGGGCTTGGTGCCAGCATTCAGCACAGAGACATGTGTTGATTGCAGTTGCAATAAAGCCACTGAAAATCCAGAGGAAATGGGTGCGCGATTTGTCAGGACTGGATTTACGGAGTTGAGCAAATGCCTATGACATCAGTCATGTTGTTTAAAGTATACTGAATGAAATGAAATTGGCCCTTGGAAGTTGTAATCCAAAAAGCAATTTTTCCAATGTCTATTTATAAACAATCACAGGAATTATAGTGTTTAATTTAATACTAAACCCTTTCTACCCTGACTTTGTGACTGGAGGTAGCAGAGTTTGGAAAAGTTACTTTTTCCCGATGAACTCTTTGTGATTAATTTTCTCAACCTCTGGTGTGTTGTATGTATTTTGTTACACCCTGTCAAGTTGAAACCTACTTATGGGAACACTAATAGGGATTTGACCGTAAGTGGGAGATTGAAGGAGTGGTTTTACCAGTTTGACACACCCCTGCCATGATTTGCCATGACTAAGTGGGGATATAGATCCAGGTCTTCTGAGTCCTAGTTCATCTCTCCATTGGCCATACAGTACTATACTGGCTATAATTTCAAGCTCAAGGGGGTGCCCTCTGCTGGCTTCCCTCAGGTAACACAATGTTTTATGCTGGCCCTACAAGATGATGGGTTAAGGAAAAGGGCATTTTCTCCTAATAAATCTATCCTGCCACAATATTTTTGTTTTTCTTTCATCTTGCTTTTGTAACACATACTGAAACAGACAAAACACTATAGCCTTTTGAAAAAAATGGTTCTAAAAAGTAGCTTATCCAAGCCTTGGGCTTCTTTCTTCTTACAAACCAAGCCACCCACAGAAAGCCAGCAGGGCTGATTCCATGATCTAGAAGGCCCTTGGGCAAGATGGTCTCAGCCCCAACCTCCTGCAGGAACATCACAGGGCCCAGAGTGTCAGTGGTGAGTTCTGTTCCACTGCATGTACTTTGGTGGATGTCCAAGAATCTTTCTCCTTGGCACCAGCTTTTGGTATCTTTGGGTCCAATATTCAGAATTAAGGCAAAAACCCCATGTTTCTTTTGGGGAGTACAACATCCAGAATTCCCGCTCAATGTGACCAGTGTGGGGCTCTTTGAAAAGTAGTTTATCCCAAATCGGTAAAGGTTCAGTGAATTCCCAAGAAAACAGAAGGTTCTTATTAGCCCAGTTTAGGAGGATATATGGAATAAAGATTAGGTTGTCGCAATATATAAGAGGAATATTTATTTTGCGTAGGTGGAGGGGAAAGTTCAGGTGTGTGGAGGGGTTCCTTTTCCTATGACTCACATTTCACTACCTGTGTGGGTCCAAAGTTTGCACACTTAAAACTAGTGAGCCAGCTCCGCCCATTCCTGAAGAGTCTTACCCTGGCCATGGTAAAATATGCCTTTGTTATAACCCATCTGTAACATGTTCTACGTGGGTCTGCCTTTGGAAAGTGCTCAGAAAATCTTGGTTCAAAATGACATTTCCAGACCTAGTTCAAAGTGCTGGTTTTAACTAGATATGGGCACTTTGTATTCATATGTAGGGATACAAAATTTGGAAATGGTCCTTGTGCTTTCTGATAGCCCATATGCCAATCTTTCTCCCCCCGCCACCCCCTATTTATAGACAGCAGGGTAAGTGTGGTACTTAACAGGTAAGAGAATATCCATGTTTGTAAACTCCCTCCCACACTGACAGTACTGATTACTAATGATGTAGAATTAGGTTGTTTGTTCCTTACTCCACAATCCCTGAAAGTTGGAAGTGGCTCCTTTTGACAAATTAATCAGTTATTAACTCAGTTATTAACTTGGCAAGAGGAGAAGGGGACGATAGAGGATGAGATGGTTGGACAGTGTCATCGAAGCGACCAACATGAATTTGACACAACTCCGGAAGGCAGTGGAAGATAGGAGGCCTGCCGTGCTCTGGTCCATGGGGTCACGAAGAGTCGGACACGACTAAATAACAACAACAAACTCAGTGAGAGAGATATCTGGCTGCAGGGCTAGTTTAATTCCCATTGTGCCTCCAGAGAGAAAAACTAGCCTGCATAGCCTTGGGCAAGCTTCACAGTCCCAGGACACCCTGAGAAGAAAGGAAAAATAAACCACTTCTGAGTAATCCCTATCTAGAAAACCCTGAAAAGGGTCACCTTATGTCAAAATTGACTTGACAGCACATGATAATTATTATTAAAGGCCTTTACACCCAAAATTGCACCCTTTTCAATCACTGCTGACAGCCTGATTGCCTCTGATGCATGGCCAGCTGTCTTTGTAAGGTCTAGGTCTTATGGCCTAAGGTGTAGAAGAGATGGCCTTGGACAGCCTCAGGGAAACAGACAGCTGCACAAAAACCGAGGTGGATGTATTATAAAACTAACAATGAAGCTTAACCTTCGGGGCTCCTAATCCCCTAATCTCCTAATCCCCAGAGGAGCCCCAAAAGCATTTTTAGCCCACATTTTAAAAAATGGTGGCGATCTGTCATGGAACAGCCCCAATGAATAAGATAACAGTGGTTGCCCGGACCTCATTGCTGATTGTGAAGGGCCTCCCATAAAAGTTCAAGCTTCAGGATCCAAAAAATGGATGTGTGCCACTGACAGCATCCATAGTGCAAAAGTGACCAGGTACGTATGGTTGTTTCTCCTCCTCCCTCAGGCAGCAGATTGGCATTAGCATTGTGAGAAAATGGCTTCATCCAGGAACACAGAGTGAACTAATATAAAAGACAGGGCAAGATATTTGAATACCATATCTCCCAGCAGTTGTCCACTGGCATGGAAATGCATACAGCTTTCAGTCATGGGGCTTATTAGCTGGTGTTACATGGATGCAACAGAGTTGTATGGATCTAGGACGCTTGATTTCAGCAGGAGGTGTCTCTACAAAAACTCCACTTGCCAAAATCCTGCTGTTTAGTGTACAAAATCACACTAAATGCAATTTACAGTGCTACACAATTAGAGCCAGCCCATTTGAATTGATGAAACTTTCAGATGAGTTTACTCTCCAGATCTTCAGTGATTCAATGGGCCTACTCCAGTGTGATTTTATACATTAAGCCAGTGGCTCACAACCTTGGGAAACCCAGGTATTCTTGGACAGCA